ATATATATATATATATATGTAGACAGAGAGAGAGAGAGATAAAGACAGAGAGAGACAGAGAGAGAGACAGAGAGAGACAGAGAGAGAGAGACAGAAAAGAGAGACAGCAGCAAATCCTTGCATTCCTACATCTTGTGAGCGAGAGACATCGCATGCACAAGGGTTTAGGGTTTAGGGTTTAGGGTTTATTGCTTTCCTTGAGGCTTTTCTTCTTTAACAAGAGATAATAACTCTTCCTGAAGACGAGCGTATTTAATATTATTACCCCGAACAAAACACTCAGAGACCCTCCAAAAGCTTTCGCCGTCCTAAACATTAAAAAGGAGACAGTTAAATCAAAAGGAGACAGACGCTTCAATTTAACAGAGGATATAAATATAAATAAATAAATAAAGATAAATAAATAAATAAATAAAGATAAATAAATAAATAAGTAGAAATAAATAAATAAATAAATAAACTAAAGAGAGAAGCAGAGATAAATAAAGTAAAAAGAAAGAGAGATAAATAAATTAAAAAGGAGACAGTTAAATCAAAAGGAGACAGACGCTTCAATTTAACAGAAATAAATCTAAATAAATAAATAAATAAATAAATAAAGATAAATAAATAAATAAATAAATATAAATAAATAAACTAAAGAGCGATAAATAAATAAATAAGTTAAAGAGATAAATAAAAAGGAGACAGCTATATCAAAGAGGAGACGCTAAAATAAAGTAAATTGCAGACAAAAGAAAAGAGCAGACAGACAAACAAAAAGAGACAAACAAATAAAAAGGAGACAAACAAAAGGAGACAGATAAACAAAATAAACAGCTAGAAAGACACAGAGCTAAAGGAGACAGCTGCAGCAGCTGCAGCAGCAGCACCAGCAGCACCAGCAGCACCAGCAGCAGCACCAACAACAGCAGCAGCAGCAGCACCAGCAGCAACAGCAGCAGCAGCTGCTGCAGCAGCAACAGCAGCAGCACCAGCAGCAGCAACAACAGCAGCAGCAGCTTGCCTTTGATGTGCAGACAGAATTTTTAAGCTGCAGATTCATAAACCCGTCACAGGCCGCCAGCATACCGCTGTATGTCTCTCCGTTCTTCAGCTCCACCATCTGCAGCAGCAGCAGCAGCAGCAGCAGCAGCAGCAGTAGCCAGAGCAGCAGCAGTAGCAGAAGCAGCAATAACAGCAAGAGCTCCACCATCTGCAGCAGCAGCAGCAGCAGCAGCAGCAGCAGCAGTAGCCAGAGCAGCAGCAGTAGCAGAAGCAGCAATAACAGCAAGAACAGCAGCAGCAGAAGCAGCAATTAAAGCTACAGTGTACAACACGGGGATAGATGCTGCAGCAGGAGATTTAGAAAGCAGCAACTGCTCAACCTTTACAGCTGCTGCTGCTGCTGCTGCTGGATGCTGCAGCAGGAACAGCAGCAGCAGCAAGAATAGCAGCAGTGACAGCAGCAGCAGCAGTAACACAGCATCATGAACAGCAGCAACAACAACAGCAACAGCGAGAGCAGCAGCACCGCAACCACGTACAGCAGCAGCAGCACAACAGCAACAGCATCAGCAGCACAAACAGCAACACCGAAAGCAGCAGCAGGACAAACAGCAGCAGCAGCAACAGCAGCAGCAGCAGCAACAGCATGAAGGTTACCAGTGGACGGTTCTGTGCAGCGCGAAGCAACGCCAGTGGCAGCTGCAAAACAAAAAAGAAAACACCTAAACCCTAAACCCTAAACCCTAAACCCTAAACCCTAAACCCTAAACCCTAGGGCAGGCCTCGTGCGTCTCCAAGACACCAATGAGACCCCACAAACATGCAGAAGCAGAGGAGAGCAACACGGTTATATAAGAGAGCAGCTGCAGCAGCAGCAGCAACAGCAGCAGCAGCAGACCAGGGAGCAGCGCCAGCTGCAGCAGCACCCGCTGCAGCAGCAACAGCAATACCCGTGGCTGTAGCATCTGCAGCAGCATCTACGGCAGCAAAACCAGGACAAGCAGCAAGGAAGCAACAGCAGCAGCAGCAGCAGCCGCAGCAGCTGCTGCTGCTGCTGCACTCCACTGAGTTTAGAGACCTTCAGCTGCTTGCAGATAAATCCCTCTTCAATTTAAATCAATAAAATAAATAAAAATTAAATAAATAAAACAAAAAACAAAACCTACCGGCATCTTCTTCTTTCAGCGGGGGCCGCAGCCCTCTGAGGTGTACAGGCAGCTAAGAGACAGATAAATAAAATAATAATAATATTAACAGCAGAAAATAAACAAATAATGAAAATAAATTATACAAACAACAAACTTTTTAAGTCCAGCAGCACCATACAACCGCGGAGCAGCAGCTCCCGCCTCTGCTGCTGCTGCTGCTGCTGCTGCAGCTTCTGCTGCAGCCAGAACAGCAGCAGAGCTGCAACAAACGTAATTGCTCTTCCTCCAGTTGTCTAAAATAAATTAAAACGAGCTAAGACATTTTGCTGCTGCTTCTTTTTGTGTTTGTTTATGCAGACGGAGGTTTAGCTGTATATTGTTTTTGAGGGGCCCTCTGATGGGGGCCCCTACGCTGAGGGTTTAGGGTTTAGGGTTTAGGGTTTAGGGTTTAGGGTTTGGGAGGGAGACCAACCCCTTCGCGAATTTCATTCTACCACACCGCGCTTATTGTGTTTAGGCAGCAAGAGCACCAGCAGCAGCAGCAGCTGCTGCTGCTGCTGCTGTGCCCTTGCACACGTTATAACAGCAGCAGCAGCAGCAGCAACAGCAGCAGCAAACTACACACAATCGCAGCATACACCACCTTTGCGGATCATCCTCAGCAGCTGCAGCTGCTGCAGCAGTTGCTGCTGCGGTAATGGGGAAATGCAGCTGGGAGTGCAGCAAGGGCCCCAGACGCTGAGCTGCTGCTGCTGCTGCTGCTGCTGCTGCTGCTGCTGCTGCTGCTCTTAGCAGGCAGTATTCAGCAGCACGACGGTCTCCAGTCTCCGGGTTAATCAGCACGCCACCGCTGCTGCTGCTGCTGCTAGAAAAAAGAGCTCTCTTTCCTCGGGTTTGTTGCTGCAGTAGCAGGAGCGACAGCAGCAAATGCAGCAGCAACAGCAGCAAACAAGCTGCGTCGCGGGGCTGCGAGTGGAAGTGCTGCCGCTGTTGGGTTGCACAGACCCTTTGTTGCGAGAGCGCGCAGCAGCAGCAGCAGCGGCAGCAGCAGCAGCAGCAGCAGCAGCAACACCAGCAGCAGCAGCAGCAAAGCGACCTGCAGCAGAAGATGCGGCAGTGCTACCATTAGGAGAAGGAGAGGAGCTGAGTATAGAAGCTGCGGGCACTTCATTGGCTTTGCTGCTGTCTGTCTCCCCCCAGCAGCAGCAGCAGCAGCAGCAGCAGCAGCAGCAGCAGCAGGAAACAGCAGCAGTGCATGCGCTGGGTAGAAAGCGGAGTTCTCTCTTTCAGCTTCGAGATGATGTTATAAGCCAGAGACATTGTTTGCTGCTGCTGCAGCAGCAGCAGGATCGCAGCAAGCTGCAGCGGCAAGTCGCGCTGCTGCTGCCGCCTCTGGTTGCTGCGCTGCAGCAAGCAGGTCTCTCACTGTCTTCTGCTGCTGCTGCTGCTGCTGCTCCTATTGGGGCTCCAAATGGCTCCTTCACCCCTGCTGCTGCTGCTGCTGCAGCAGCAGTTTCTTGCGCTGAGATTGTCTTCGAGTGTACAGACATCTCAAAGGGAGACGGAGAGACTGTTGCTGCAAGCCTGAGCGATCCGCAGCAGCAGCAGCAGCAGCAGCAGCTAGAACAGCAGCAGCACAATGAGGATCCGGACATAGCAGCAGCAGCAGAAGCTGCTGCTACTAGCGCAGCAGCTTGTGGGTGCGCTCGTGTGCCTGCCAGTTTGCTGCTGGGGTTCTCAGCAGCAGCAGCAGAGCAGCAGCAGATCTTGCTGCTGTCTTTGTTGTAGACGGCAGCACGAACGGCTCTTGGGTTGATGCTGCTGCAGCACCAAAGGGAGAAGCTGTTGCCTGGTCTCTCTCAAGTGTATTGTCTCTTGCTAGGCCTCGTCAGTCCCCTTGCTGCTGCTGCTGCTGCTGCTGCTGCTTCTGCGTATGCTGCTGTTGCTCCTGTATATGCTGCTGCTGCAGCTTTTGCTGCGGCGGAGGCTTTATCGACATTCGCCTCTACGTGCTGCTGCTACGACTGCTGCTCCTGCACCCGCTGCTGCTGCACCCGCTGCTGCTGCACCTGCTGCTGCTGTTGTTGCTCTTGTTTCCGTCGCTGCTGCTGCACTTATTTGTGCGGCAGGTTCTTCAGCTGCTGCATGTTGTTGCTGCTGCTGCATTTGTCTCTGGAGCAGCTGGTGTAGCTTTGAGTGGATTCGTTTTTGCTGCTGCTGCTGCTGCTGCACTGGCTGCTGCTGCTGCGGTGTATGTACAGTTCGAGAAGCGGGGCCCCCTATTGCTGCTTTTCGCTGGCGCCTCATACTTCGCCTCTGTGCTGCATGCAAAACATCAGGGGCCCGCTGCTGCTGCGGCTCGCTGCAGCAGCAGCAGCAGCAGC